GTATTTAGTTATAAATAAATGACAATAACATTTTTTTTATTTAAAATTTTTTTTGGCAGATTCCTAGAATTCCTAAAATGTGTTTTCTCTTCATTATGGCAGGTGGTCTAATAAATTGTTAAGCACTGTATGTTTTCATAGCATTCAGTTGGAACGTTTGTTTTAAGGACATTGGGCAGAATGTGGAATAGTGTGTTTTTGTCAATAAAATAAAAAAAGAAAATTGTTTGTTTTTAATCCAATTAATCGAAAAAATAATCAACCAACTAATCAATTATCAAAATAATCATTAGTTGCAGCCCTAATTGTAATATATTTAAAATTGTAATTTATTCATGTAATGTCAAAGCTGATTTTCAGTGTCCTTTACTCCATTGATTTCTGAAGGGTCATGTGACATTCTAAAATGCTGATTTGGTGCTCAAGAAACATCTCTTATTTATTATCAATGTTGAAAACAGTTGTTCTGCTTAATATTTTTGTGGAAATCAAGATATATTTTTTCATGGTTCTTTAGTGAATAGTTTTAATTAAAATTTTTATTTGAAATATTTTTTTTTGTGACTGTGAAAGTCTTTACCTAATCAATTTAATGCATACTTGCTGAATAACAAAAATATATATATTTAAAAAATTTTTACACGTTTGAACAGTAGTGTGTGTAAATAGAAAAACAATCTATGGGTTGACAACGTACTGTCATGCCGCACACCTAGTGTACTTGTTTAAAAGAAGAACCTCCCTGTGTTACATGCTGACTGTGCTGGGTGCATGCCGGGGTTGGGCGGCTGGGTGCTTGTTCTTGGATGTGTTAATTTTGACAGCAAATTTTGATTTAGTTTTAGGCATATTTTAGTCATCTGAATTGTTTTTAGTTTTAGTCGACTAAATCTACAGTAAATTTAGTCGGCTAAAATCTAATGGGTTTAGTTACAGTGCATTTATTAAGCATTTCTCTAAAATTTCCAAACTCATTCTATAGGTTTGATATTAAGGTTTTATCATGATAGACACCGATTTAACTGCGGTGACACACAACATGCCTTTATGTTAAAATTAAATAAAACCACTTCTCATAAAGAACAAGAACATGGTCTTCTTTTTAATGAAATACCAATGGTTATATAGGCTAATTATGCATTCTTTATAGCAACTTGTTTACCATATTCTTCATTCTTTCAAGCAGACATATTTATTTCTATAAATAAATTTAGATTAGTCTTTAAGGCTGTTTTTCAGTCAAGAGCAGTGAGTGACTTTCTGTTGTTGCTTGATTAACATCAATGACTCGGACAATAGCAACTAAATTAGGCTGCTATCCCTTTAAAACCGAATGCACAGCTGCGGCTACTAAAGTTTTTCAGTCAAGAGCAGTGCGTGATTTTCTGTCTTTCTGTTGTTGCTTGATTAACATCAATAACTCGGACACTAGCAACTAAATTAGGCTGCTATCCCTTTAAAACCGGATGCAATGGATGCAATGTACTGATACACGTTCTCCCTGCCGTTTACTTCAGACGTAATTAACTGTGTTTACGTGAATACTCGTCAAAACTGACAATTCGACATCATTTTGTGTGTAATTCTCCGTTCATGCGACGCGTAAGAGAACTCGCACGCTGTGAGACGCGCTTTCCGTGTGTATGCTTCAGTGTCTGCACTCAGAACACCAGACCGAATTGAGTTCTCTCTTCCGTCGTCAGATTTATCCATATGTCCGCTCTTCTCTTACTCCCATATATTGACATTTTTGAACGTTTTATGCGACGTGCAGCACGTGTATGTTAGCTTATGTCCCGCCGGTTCATATGTACGCATCTAACCTCCGAACCACGCAGCAGATTCGTTCTGAATGAATCTCTTCCCAAATCGTCCCCTCCCTAACATTTTCATCTCGTTTTTATTCGTTGACGAAAATGTCAATAGATTTACGTCATAGTTTGTCATTCAAAAAGAGTTTTAGTTCATTATCGTCTCGTTGAAAATTATTTGTCAACGAAATTAACACGGTCTTGGATGCATCTCTTCCTTTGCATCAAGCCCGTTCCTAATCACTGACATTGCCTTGACTGATGATGTCAGAGCCGAAGGGTGGAGTTATTTCACTCAGTGTGGGCTTCTTGATAATTAACACCTTTCTTTATTTCCTCTTTGCTCAATACAATGCTTTTGCTTACCTTTTATTTTCTTTTTCTCTTTTTAAATTTATTCCCACCATTCTCCTCTTCCTCCCTGTCTCCCTCCATTTCTCACTCTCTCCATCTCTCTTCTATCAAACAGACCCTCAGTTCGTCGTGTATCAGTTGAAGGTAAAGATCCACACGTCAAACCCAGCCCACACACGGAGGGAAGAGAAGCACATGATCTTTGAGTTCCCTCAGCCTCTTCCGGTTTGTGGCGACATCAAAGTGGAATTCTTCCACAAACAGAGCAAGATGATGAAGAAGGTAAGTTATCGTGTAAACTTTGACCTATGACCCATAATCTTGTTGGTACCCCATTACCAAGGCTGCAGGGAGGTGTTGCCTTTTGGTGGTTTGTGGTTTTCCTATTGTTTTACGTCTTTGCTTTAGCAGCTACTACGTCGTTTTGCGTGCCTTCTAAATGTTTGTTTCCTCATTTTTAATTTTTCTTCTCCCAAAAGAGCATGCCTGTCCTGTGCGTGTTTGTGTTTCTGCTTTATATAAATGTGTTTATAAGTGTAGTTGTTGGAATGTGTATTTGTGTTTGTAAACACTTGCTATTTATGGCCATTCGATGCCCAAATGTAAACCTTTGCTGTGTGCTCATGTGCGTTCGCAGGATAAAATGTTCCATTTCTGGATAAACACGTTCTTCATTCCGGGTCCCGAGGAAGCTGGGGAGAAAGTGGAGAATGGGTCGGTGGTCAACGACGTGGACAGCCTCTCCTCTCAGAGCCAGAGCTTCCCGGCAGAGAGGGAGAGAGGGATCGCAGCGGGAGGACTTGAAAGAGAAAAGGGTGCAGAAAGGGGAGGAGAGCGAGTGGGAGTAGGGGATGGAGATAAAGACTACTTGATTCTGACCTTAACGAAGAACGACTTGGATAAGGCCAATAAGGACAAAGCTAACCGATACTTCTCACCCAACTTCAAGGTGAGGGCACACCATTCAACACTTAGCAATGGATCGATCAAAGTAGCTTGATGGCTTTATATAGCAAATATGCAAAATACTCCAGGTTCACTGTATTTATTATTTCGACATTTGCATAATTTCAAACATATTTGGTGGCTACAGGTTATACAAATGTAATAATGTGAAACCAAGTCTCAGAAAAGGAAATTACACCAGTTTTTAAATGAAGAACATATTCAAATCAAATGTTGTCAGTTGCACACTGAAACTCAAAGTTGTTCCTTTAGTTTTCTGCTAAAATAAGGGTTCAAAGATTTTAACTGCTTAAGGGTTGTGTGGAAGTGAATACATTACGACAGAAATGTATTACTATTGTATTGTACTCTTCTAATATTCTATATATTTATGAATAAGTTAATAACTCGTTGTACTGGCAGCAAAACATGATTTAATTTGGAGACAGGAGACAAGATTGCTTGAATATTGCAGCAATATGAGACCTCAGCAGTATGGGTTTTTAAATGTTTAAATCACAATTCAAATCGCAATGTTTGTCAATATGTAATTTAATGTTTTTGATTTAAAGGGTTGCTCCACCCCAAAATGAAAATTTTGTCATTAATCACTTACCCCC